CCCAAAATACTGGAGTCTTACGAGCCTCTGGGACAGTTCTGGCTGACAGCTGTGAAAAGCTGGGTTTGTTACGCTAAGAGAGAGCAATTCCTGAACAGCATTTGCTCTAACAAGTAATAAATTAGGCTTTCATACTAAGACTTTCCAAAGTTTTAGCAAAAGCTCCATCACACAGGATTCACGTGAGGTAGTTTGGGCATTCAAACTGACATGACTGACATACTGAGACGATCTTTAAAGGTCCCTTCCAAGCCACACCATTCTATGATGTGCTATCTAAATCCCACAGATAGTCCATGAGAGACTGGCTGACATGCCTACCACCATCTGAAAGGCTCAATGGTAACCCAAAGAGCCCATGGTCCTAACTGCACACTCCCAGTTAGGTGATACATTTTCCTTATGACAAAATCCATTTAACAAAGGCAGCGACAGAAAACAGGAACCCAGACATTTCAAAACTGCTAAAAACTTTCTGAGATGGAAAGCTGAGAAAAACATCAAGATATTATCACCAAAATTACTGTTTTTCAGAAGTGGCCAAGGACTGGGCAAAACCAAAATAATATGAAGTTTTGGAGTCTTATTTATTGGACAGTTCTAACAGTCCTGGACTCCAAAAGTTATTCAAGGCCATGCTGTTACTTTTCAGTCCCCAATGCTTACAAACTTAATATATTTCCTGTCCCAAATAATTCAAAGATCCTTTTTCTCTGGAAATGATGAAGAAGTTCCCAGGTACTCATAATCCAATTTACACCACTTCTGCAACCTTGCACCCAAGTACAGTGAAAGAGAAAGCCACCACCACCACCACTACCCATCCAAGACCACCAGTCACCTCCACTTGCCAGCCCCAGCTCCGGCTGCCTCAACGTGCCACCAAGCACTGATTTTTTTAATATAGTTTAAAGCCTTAAGACACCAATGCAACTGTCATTACGACCATACGAGATATGAGGTTACCGTATGTCCACCTGCAACCCCTGTGCTTGTTGGAGAGAAAAAGACTCAAAATGACAGAAAACACAGCACTCCCTGCCTAATAGATTATTCTCAATCTTGGTATTGATTTTTCAAGTTTCCATTTCTATGTCTCTATACAAGACTAAAGAGCCACTAATGACTATTTCTTCTTGCATAGGAACCCACAGATGCATCTTAAGGCACTTCTTCTCTTTCTCTTTGATAAATGGTATTAAATGCTATGTTTATGATAAGCTATGTGTTGCATTTCCACTGGAAGAACCCCAGTTCACAGGTTTTCAGGACAGACTGAGCAGAGGACAGGCTAAATCCCATTGCATGAAGGAAACTTTGCACAGGCTGTCAGGAATCACTCTTCATGGTTTCCACCAAACCCAAGGAGAGGAGCAAGTCCTGATCCCGACACAGACACAGACATGCTAAATAGACTATTTTTCAAGCACAGGCAAACTCCAAAATAGTGTGAATCTTCTCGTTCATTATCTTAAGTTATGATCAGACACTTCTATGGGTTGAACATTGCCAAGCTGAAACCATTTGCCTTTGCTGGGTACATATGGGGATGCATAACCACCTTCACATGTGAAACCCTGAGATTTCAGGAACTATTTATACACTAGAGAAAAAAAAAAAGCATATAGTGCCATCCCCTTGACACTTGGTTTTTTAAAGGTCTTAGATATTTGGGATTTTTTTTTAAATCCCATTCATTCAGTCATGCATTCTGTTCAAAGGGTTCTCCAGATGTAAGATGAAACAACTGCAAGTAGCTTCTCCTTTTCTATTTTGCCCTCAAATTCCAAAAGCTCATTGTGTCAGTGGAAGGAAGACTGAGACTGAAAATACTTTTACCCCAATGGTTCAAACTTTCCAGAAAACATGTAGTCCTCTGTGATTGTACACATCTTTAAAGTGCGCTTAACTCATCCCTTGTTTCAGTGCTTCCTCTCATTTTACTTAGCATCCTTCAGGTACCACTGCAGTGCCAGAATGCTTTTGTTAAAACGCTGAATTCAAACCAACCCTTTCACGCTGCTTTACTTGCTCTCCAATTCACCTACAGCGTCCTATTAAGTTACAAACCTATTACCTGCCAATTCCTAGCACCAAAGGTCACCATCATTACCAGAGTCCACCCTGCTTCTGTTCCAAGCAAGGACATGAAATTAATTTCAAGAAGGAAGATGCAGCTTATTAGGGAGAAGGGATATGCAAATGTTCTCTCACTGATGTTTTATTTTTAGCAGCTCAGTGATATTTATAAGGCTGTGAGGAGTGGATACAGGGCTGCAGTAGGATGAAGTAAGTATCACAGGGGCACGTATGAAAAATCTGCACATCTGCAGGGCAGGACGAGGAACAGGCAACATTACCTGGAGTTCATAGGAAAAGGGAGAAGGGTAAATGCTTCACGCACACCTTCTTACAGTTGTTCCAAAAATCAAGTAACTAGGAACAAAAATTAACATCTCGATTCTAAGTTTTAGCTCATTTTGTATATTCTGTATTATTAACTTAGAGAATCTGAAAAAATTCAGCTCAGTTTCAAAGAGCATCAAGATAAGATTTGCAAGAATGAATGCATCAATCACAAACATCCTTTAAGATTTCTTACATGACCCCTGGATGCCCCCACCATGTGCTTCAATTTGCCAATCTGAAAACAATTCCCTCTCATAGCAACACTATAAGATTTTGTGTATTTAAGACATTTGCTGTCTTCAAGGAACTGTCAGAGTTCACTGTAGTTGTTCATATCTTTGCTGTAAAGTCATCACTCATGATGCAAACAAAAGTCTTACCTAAAACATCGGACTAAATTGGGCCAGAATTAACAACATACTTAATGCCTTTGGAGTGCTGAATTCACCTTATGCCATTTTTTAGTATCCCTTTTTTGACTGGAGAGAGTGAACACATTCACCTAAACTTGAAACCATAATTTAGGGGCAAAGTTTGAGGGCAAAAGCACTTAAGAACAATCTTGCTGTACTTTATATTCTCATGGCCTCTCAGTCCTAGATATGCCATGGACACTCAAAGCACTGCCAAGACCCCAGGTGACAATGAAGATTTGATACAGGACAGAGGTGCGTGTCATCTGCTTTGGGCTTTTCATAACTGTGCATGGGAAACTACAGACTATGCCCTATGCCAGGATCTGCAAAGCCCAACAGTCTGTGCAGTTCCACTGGCAGCAAATTCTGCATTAAATGGCTTTTTGTCATTCGACAGCAATGTGGAACTTTCAATACTTGGATGATAACTTGGTCACTCTTGTTGGTCACTGCTAATTCACTAAAAAAAAAAAGAGTTAAAGCTCCCAAACAACTACCAAAACCTGAACGACCCTGAATGGCATACTGGTAGGGTTATTTTTTTTTTTCTGGAAAAAGAAATGTGGAATGTTTCATTTCATATATATTAATCTCTTCCATCCTGAGCACTAAGTACAGCAGAAACCAAACCAATACCTATTCCTACATAAATGTAATGCAGAGATAATTTGTTTTCCTACTCCACTATTCTGGCATCTGCACATTGAATTTATCAGGACACTTCCTCACCATAAACAACTACATTATTTTGGAACTAATGCTGATGAAGAAGAACACAGAAGGGGAAAAAAGTGTATAGGGACTTAATTTAGAAAATAACTGAGGTTAGATGAAAAACCAATAGCACCATCTAGAGGTTAGTGCATGTTCTTACATAGGTGGATACTCAGGACAAGTAAGATAAATGTTTTTTTTGGTTTTGTATTTTTAGCTTGAGTTACTCTAGTTGGATTTTAATCTTAACTACAATATCAACAGTAAAATCACGTCTTAAAAATAAAAAAAGACTGATGCAAAAAGCTGTATTAGACTTTGGATGAAATCTACTTACAGTAGTACTTCAGCACCAAAAAGTGGAAGTTAGACTGATAGATGTATATACAATTAAATGATATGTCAAAGTCTTAAAATGCTTAGTTATTTATAATGAAATCTATACAAAACATTTAAAAACATGTTTTTATATACATTTGGAAAAAAAAAAGTATTGTCTTCATTAGCAGAATGTATTAAAACTGGTTCTTTTATCCCATTTGAACCCAAACCTCTCTCTGTGGCTTGGAACTATCACAAAAACCCAATGTATTGCTTCAACAAGCCAAGTCATAAGGCTGATTTCTGAAACCTACTGCTTTATACCGTTTTAAGCTTCTAAACTCCCAAAAATGGTCACTTTAAAAACAGCATGTAAGAGTAAAATACAGGTTTTTAAAAGCCTTAGCTCACTTCTAAACTCAGAGGTTCAACTATGAAAGATGCCGAACCACTTATCCCCGATTTTGAAAAACTGGTTTATAGCAAAATACATCCCCCCCACCCCATCTGTATTAGAATTAATACACCTGCCTGTTTCACAGGAACTTTTTAAACAACTTGGCCTCATGTAGATTTTATATTTAAATAAATAATCAAAGATTAACTAGAGTAGGTGAGCATCTCATGTGCTTATGGCACAAATGCTTCATACACCGTCACCCTACTTCTTGTAAAGCATGAAAACAAGAATCCACTGGCAAATCCACTTTGCTACCAGTTAGTGATTTTGCTTATTTCCAAACATTCACCAACAAGACTTTTAAAAAAATAAACTATATTTTTAGGCTTATGAAAAAATCTTTAAGTGAGCACAAGTGCAAGAAAGCTAACCAATTCCAAAACTCCTGGGGCTTTTCCAGCACTGTCAGAGACACTTTTTCTCTCACATGCTATTTAAAAATACAAATATTTATTAAACATTCTCTTTTTTTATGGTGTTTTGCTCAACAGCTAACAAAAAGACACAGCAAAATAATGATCCCTTTTCACTGAAAGCTGTTTCAGTATCTGGGCAAGGGCTTCAATAGCACGAGCTGTAGAATTCGCTGCAGATTTGCTTTTTAACAGCAGTACATTCCACTGTCACAGGTGTACTACATCTCAGTAACTACATCTTTTTTTTTTTTTCCTTTTTTTTTTTTTTGGAAACAATTTTTAAGATGCAGCTTTTGCAATACCGTCTTGTTAAAACACACTGATGCTTCAAGGGTCCAATGAACAACTCTAATAGGCAAAGTGCTCTAAGACATCACAATACAAGGGCATCTTGGATACTCAAAATCCCAAGATATTTTTAAAGTGCACTCCAGTGTCCCAATTCCTTAGGATTGTTCAGCAGAACTTCGAGAGGGGCTGGGCTCAGTGCCATCCTCAGTGCTACTGTCCACATCTTTCTCCATTGCCGTCTCCTCATCGTTGAGGAGCTGACTGGTGAAGTTGTTGAGCTCCAGGAGCCCACTGGGTTCCACTACCACGTTGGAGCTGGAGTGACAAGGGATGGAATAGTGAGGGATAGTCTGAAAGAAAGAGAAGATTTAAGTTTTAACACGCACAGTTTTCACAGGTAAAAGCATCTATGCAAGCACAGGTACTCAAGGAAAAGGGATATATGGTTTCCAATTTTCCCTAGCTAAGGTCCCTTGCATGTTACATTAAGTCAGCTAAAGCTTCAAAGCATCCTTTCACTGGATTAGGTTGTGAAAGAGAAAATTCAAATAATCTTGCTGTTAAGGCACTGATCTTGGCCTTGGATCTTCGCTAAAAGTCTGCGACAGCACAACCAACAGCTAAACCACCAATCCATTATTCCCCAAATGCAAAGCAGAGATAATACTTTCTTCAGCTGTATCTTTTTATCTTTTTCAGACAAGATATTCAGACATAAAGACTAGCAATGGTTTTCGTACGTGACACAAGCTTGAGCCCTGCTCAGAGCTGCAGCAGCACAGAGGCAGAGGAAACACCACAGATCTAAGCTATTTATTTCCGATTATACTTTCATAGGTTCTAAAAACTAAATCTACAACTTTATACAACCGAAGTTCTGGGCAGTATTTTACTTCTGAAACAGCTTGTAACATGCCACAATGATAAACAATACAGATTCTCAAAATGTACAAATCTGAAGTAAAATGGAAAACTACCTTTGTCTATTTAGGAAAATGAGTACTAAAAATGAGTATAAAAATGATGATTTCTACAAAAGTGATGTTAGCTGCAATGAAGATTTTACAAAGTGGAGTGAAAAATTTGCAAGCTCTGTATACAAGTTATTTTCCCACATCAGAAGTATTTTCACTGTAACACAAATAAATACACAATAAAACCATTTCAATCCACGCTATCATTTGTGTGAACATATACAATGCCAACTTGTCAAAAAGATTCATATTATACCACTATGAGTCCTCAGATTACTTAAATACTTCCTCAGTTGACATTTTGACCATATATTACATCACAAAACATCATATTCAAAACAGCAGAAACAATGAAAATATCAGTCATCAATTAGGCAATGACTCAAAGCATTTAGGCTAAAGATCAACACTTTATCTCAGAAGTGCCAAGACCGGTTATAAATGAAGTTAACAAGCTTTCCTCTGAATCTAGAGCTTATGTGCTGAACTTTCCCAGTAAGTGGAAATCCATTACTCCATTTTTTATAAAAATGAGTAACTTTTACACTCAGAGGCAACACTAATAGACACTAAAGAAATTCTAGGTTATAGTTACAGGTAGTGGTGATGGTCACATTTTTAAGCATTTCAAATTAAAGTACTTTGTAAAATTAGATGAGCTTGGTTTGTTTTCTTAACAGAAAGACAATGAGGACACAGTGAATGACACAGTGCTAGAGAAACTTGAGCTCAATTTAAGAATTACACTTTGAAGTAGCCATCCATTACAAGCATAACAGTAGAAAAAGAACCAAAAACTGAAGGAAAACAAAAATACTGGAACATCACTCAGTTGCTATCATCACACGAGACATGAGTTTGCTCTGCTCAACCTTTTGTCTTATTTGCTCTGGTCTTCTCTTACCTGGGTAACAATTTCTGACGAACTCTCTTCAGCTTTCTTTTGTGAAATATTCTGAATGTGTATAAACTGGTTTGTTGGAGGCATTCCTTGTGCATTGAGTTTCCTCTCTGTTAAAGTAGGACCAACAGCAGGAGGACTTGAACTGGATTCTGCACGTGTCTGTTGATGGGGGATGGAAGCTGCCGTCATCCCTACTGCGGTCACCCTCGGCACCTGGGTAGAAGGTGACGACTCTGCTTCACTAGCCAGTTTACTAGTGGACATGGTCTGGTTTGGGGGATCCTCTATCGTATGTTCTATGTTTGAATCAATCTGAGCTTCCACCATAGACACTCTCAAAATATCTGCTACTGCTGTCTTCGCGGATGCCTGCACGGGAAATAGGCTGGTAACTGGCAATGCCAGTTTGGGCACAGAACTGCCACCTGCTACCTTTGAAACAGGAGGAGGCTGACGCCCCTCAAAAGTTATCTTTGTAACACTGGATCCTTGCCTTAAAACTGGATGCTGCACCTGAAAATCAAATTTTTGTTGTGCATGTTACAGCTAGATTTGCTTCTTTTATTGAAAAACTAATCAGTATTTCCAAGGACAGTATGGCACAAACAACATACTTGCTATTAGGAAGACAGTTGAAACTCAGTGTCTTAACAAAGGAATTAGCAATTATATGGTAACAGTTAATTGAAGCCTGGGGAAAAGCAGCTTTTTAGGCTGCTAGATAAGGATTGTAGCAGTATAATACCACAGCAGCCTCGTTTTCCTTTGGGATTTACACCCCCATGTGATGTCTGTTAACCCTCCTGTTTTCACATGTATTCCAGATAGGGCACAAAAAAAAAAATAGTACTTTTCTGGAGTTAGTTAAAATACTTTTTTTTTTTCCACATTTCTCAGTCTTTACATTTTCCCCTCCTAAGGAAAATCAAATTACTCCTGTACTTGAAAGCCATATAACTTCAGGAAGATGTAAACTACAAAGGAAGACGTACAATGGAGAGCCTTAGAAGACTGCAGTGTACTCATCTTTATTTCCACAGAAATAAAAATTGCTATGGGAACAGAAATTAATAACGTGTCATATCTAAAAATTAAAAGAAAATAATTAGGGACAAATTCCATGCACCAGTGGTGGCAGAAATTCTTAAAAACTGTCCAACAAAACACGTTTGTGAGCTCTATGGATTTTTCCCCTATAACATGTGCTTCTCTTTCCTAGTGTCAACCTTCTGATGGGGCAATTTAATACCAGCAGAACGAGGAGTTCTCTCTTGCCAGGACAAAACACTGCTACAGCGACAGGGTTGGTGTTTTGATTTTTTTTTTTCCTTGAACAGCGACGTGTATTTTGCATGCTATCAATATTCCGTTACCTGGCTTGCTGGCTGTTTCTCTGAAGAGGCAGGTAGCTGCATTTGACTCTGGGGGGGTTGGGGTTGCACGTAGATTTTTTGTGCCGTTGGTGCCTGTTGCAGTTTGGGCAGCTGCTGCGTGGTTTTTACTGCAAGCACCTGTACTACAGTTTGCTGTGGCTGTGCCACTAAGGTAGGGAGTTGCCTTTCTTTGGCCATCATGTGGTGTGGGGGGTGCTGTGCATCTGGTTTGGTCTGTGCTTGCTCTTGCTGCAGGGGGGTTAGCTTTTGATGCCTTATAGAAAGCTGGGGCATTTGTGGGAGTTTGTGCTGGATTTGATCAGCCTGCAGGTGGATTGTCTGCTTCTGCTTAGTCTGGAAACACTGCAGAGTTTTTACTTGCAGTTGAGTCTGTTCCAGCTGCGGCTGACTCAGTTTTTGCTGTTTTTGTGCCTGCGATTGTGTCAGGGCAGATCTGTAGAACAGGCCAGTCTGAGGATCTAAGGTGTCCATCTCCTCCACTTCTCCTTCCTCAGTTCCAAGCTGTTCACTGTGTTTGGTAAATGCAGTGTGACTGCTTAAGGCCTTAATAAGAAGAAGTTAGAGCAAGTTAGTAAAGAGGAATATAAATTATAAGAATACACAATCTAAAAATAATTTTCAGTATTTTAACTGGATTACTTTAACTTATTTTACCACTACAGAGTTCCAACTCATTTATTAAAAAATACTCTTATATGAAGATTCCACAACACATAAGCAATAAATAGCTATTTTTATCATGTTAAAATGTAGTACTTCTCTATGCGACAAGCACTGCATAGCTAAATCTCAGTGGAGATTATGTAGCTCTCACATGTGTCACACTAACATTCAAAGCCTCTAAGACTGCATGGCAGTTGGAGATGAAGCAGCGGGGATGATTTGCAGGTGGTTGAATCAGTAGCTTCTCATTACAGCCAGTCTCTCTCCAAAATAAATTCTTGTTCTGCCTCTTGAGAGCGTCGTCATCATCCTCAAGACCTCTTCTGCAGCTGCCCATATATCTACAGTCTACCTTATTTCAGCAGAGATCCTCTCTTCCCCTTCCTTTTATTGCAACTTTTTGGGGTACTGCACAAGCATTGCTTGATTTGAGGGAGCAAGAGATCTACATTACTACACTTCGTATACCACGGTATAGATGTATTAACAGATGGCCTTAACAAGATGAAGCAGCCTACTCAAATACCTGTGAAAATACAGTCTCTGAAGTGTGTTTACAACCCTAACACAGTACTGTCCTGGTCTAGAGATGAAGTTCCTAGAAGTTAAAGCACTGCAGAGTTGAGCAGGTCTTGAACAAAGGCATCAAGAGCAGCTTCAGTAAGATTTTACCACAAGCTATATACTGTTTGTCTGAAGTGTTTGGAAACCTCACAGTACTAGCCATGATCACTAAAAACTTGATTTTACTGTTTGATTCAGGAAAGTTTGTCTATTCACAAACTAAAGCCCTCAAATTACAAAGACACTGTGTACTCTGGTACTGACCAGGTTCTGATTCATTCCTTTTCCTCTGCACTAACATCAACTAATCAACATTGCAAGAGCCCTTGCAATACAACACATAGCAAAAAGCAGCTTGCTGCTGTTGAAGAGGTGACATACAGACAGAAGGAACTCATCTAGAAAGCAGTATCTTTTCCACAGTCGCTGTTAATACCTCTTACTTAACACTCTCAAGTAATCCCATTAACTGCTTCCCTTTTATCACACCACCCTCACCATCAAAGCAGGCAATATTAAAGTAATTAATTTGCCTTTACACTTAACATTTTCAGTGACAGCAACACAACATATTCATTCAGAACAAACCCTGGTCCTATACAATTCATATAGCTTACTGCTGTCTATAGACTGTTGGGAAAAGAAAGGGTACAACCTGCTGCATGATATGGGTAATTGCGCCTGTGGAAGATGCGGGGATAGATTTCACCACAACAGAAGTCTGCGTTGCTGTCTGCGACTGAGCCACGTGCTGCAGCAGGGTCCTCTGGGGCTGGGATGACTGCTGGTGAGGCTGGGACCGGTGACTGACTGAAAGTAAAGAGGTCAGTGGCACTTCTCCAGAACTAACTGCAGTAACTTCAACTGTTTGCTTTGCATTTAAGCTTCAACTGAAAGTATCTATGAGTGAAATAAAGATCTGAGTACAAAATATATCTTTTACTGTACGCTAGCTTCATCCTTAAAGTATAAATCTATTCTGAGAAGCCTCTTAAAGCAGCAACTCAGGGGTTTTGCTTTTGTCTCCGTTTCCTAAGTAATCACGCTTGGTCCAAACCTCCTCTGAACTCGCTCTCCCAGCACACCAACTTTGAAAGCAGAATTTATACTCTGTTTTCAGCTGGGCTCTTTATACAGCACCAGCATAACACTGCAGAGCACAAGTTATTCTGTGTTTTTTTCACTGTTAAAAGCACTTGCATAATTGACTGCAATTAAGAACAGCAAGCCTTGCTCACTGAACTTCTACCACTGATAAACTGCAAGAAATATTCTCCAGAGCACAGGCTAAATTAGAAAGATTAGCAATTAGAAAATGTTTGGGTATTATGAAAACATGTGAGCTTGATCAGAAATCACAGACCAAAAAATAGAGACCCTGTCATGGGTCTATGTCACTTTTTATAACAGATCCAGCATGAGTTCTGGAGCTATGGTGATGGGTCTGTAATTAAATAGTGGATTAACAGAGAAATTATCTGCTGAGAAAAAAACCCACAAACCTTTCTGTTGACAAGACATGAATTCAAATTACTTTATGCCCGTTCATACCAATATGCAAAAATTTTAATAACTTTTTCGTTACAAAATAATTATAACTGAAGGAGAACAAACAAAGTTTAAATTTAGTTGTACCATAATGTTTAAAAAGCTTCCAGTGACCCTCCTGAAAGTTAAACAAAAGGCCGTATTTTGAATTAATAAGGTAGTTTTACTTTCTCACTCTAAGAAAGGAGTTGGATTACATCAATACCGGCCTGCATGCTGTACCAGATCCGTCATGGATATCCCCCAACAGTTCCTGCACAATTGAAAATTTCATTTAAAAGTAAAATTTCTAACCTATATGGTTGTGTAGATATTCTTCCGAATGTGAACCAATACAGTGTTGTCTTCCTGAGTCTGCAGACAGACAAAAAATGGTGACACTAAGATGTGTGAA